ATTGACCCAAATAATCGTGATTATGATTTTTGCCATAATCGCACAGCCCTACTATGTGCAACTCAAGGCATATGCTCGAACCGGAGCTGCCTGGACTCTGCAATCATGTTGCGCACTATCCGTGCTGAGTGTGCTGACTTTTCGTACAATGTCCCACTGTCTGGCTTCCTGCATAAAGTCAGGTGCTCGGTGCAGTTGTGGCGAAATGTCGCTCCTCTGTTTTCATTTATACAGCTCCTTATATCCGTTAGCGCAGCTAGCTAGCACCAGATGCTAACAACAACAATGCACGTAAGGTCTCTCGCTCGCTCGAGCCACACATACAAACACCCTCCCGGTCCTCCAGATGGCCAGTCGGTGCCTGCCGGTGAGCGTGGAAGTGTGGTCTGCCACAAGCGGGCGGCAGGAGCGGGGCTGTCAGCATCAGCTTGTAGATGGTATTTTAAACTCGATGCGCTCTGAAACTACGGGGCGGCCAAGAAAAAAAAAATACACATGCGCTAATCGCGTTAAAATAATTAGTGGCGTAAACATTTTTTTATTATCGGTATCGGTCTTGAGAAGCAGGAAGTTATCGGTATCGGTTTCAAAAAACCAATATCGTGCATCCCTAATTCAAACGTAGGTCCTCTCTGTCTGACTGTTGTTTTATTGTTTGTGGTTCACAAACGTCCAGTTTAATCTTTTGTTCAGTTTACTTTCTTTATGACAAACCGGTTAGTTAAATAGTCTGCATTGCTTTCAGTCTATAGCTACATTTCATCTCTCACTCCAGGTCTGAGTGAAATGTATGTTCCACCTACAAAACCCTTGAATTTAAAAAATGTTATTACTTATTATGTACTTAATGCATTAAGTTGTAACTGAATTTAGCAAAGCATCTGCTCTAGTTGTAGTGCACATTTTATATACAACCCTGAACAGAATTGTTATAATTTAATAATGTTAAATGGCTTTAGCATTAGTGTGAGCCTATTACAGAAATGCACTGGTACTTTTTCACAATAAATGTACAAAAGGAAACTCACTGATCTTCTCCTGCTTGTAGGTGCATTATTGAAAATATAGATACAACCGATAGTTTCCACCTGACTTCCATGGAAACCCCCAGTCTTCCTGCAGAAAACGTGCTAATGTGCTGCAGTACAACCCTCGCCTTTATGTGCCCTAAAGCCTGTGGTCTTGCAAGTAACATTCAGGCCAGATACACAGGGGGTAAGTGCATGAGTTACCATAACCTGAGACTAAGTGTGGGCTGAACAGTGTATCCCTGCACCTCCAGCCCTCTGACAGACAATCTCAATTGAACAGAATTCCTCAGAGAACAAAGCAGAGTAGGACTGCAGCCTGCAGTATATTAACACCCAACACTGTCAACAGCAACATTTTCACATATAGATTTGGTTATCAAATAATCTTAATAGGAAGTGTATTATGAGCAGAAACACTAGACTTTTCCCCCATTCTTGCAGAGAGTAACATACAGCCAGCTTCAAGCTTCAAGAGACGCAGCCCATGATGTGCGTTGCTTAGCAACACAGCCTTGTCATCAGCTAACTCCTTTTTTACCAGTCACGACTAACACAAACACAGCTCATCATCTCTCTTTAGGCAGTCAGTAAATGCAGAACACTTACAGCTACACTACAACTCTACACTAAAACTCTTGAGGCAGCATATTCTACAATAAAAATAACATTACATAGCAATACTATATCACTGGCAACGCCCTCATCAGTTAGTACACAATATATTCATAGAGAACTGTGAAGGTTAATAGATATTTTGAGGGTTGATCTATGGCTACAAATACAAATACATACCTTTTATTGCATGTGATGTGTGCACACTATCCTACTGCTGATCACAACTTGTATGACAAGGATGGAAAACAAACTGAGGTCTTGAAATGTTAAACAACTAGCTGAAAAAAGAGGGGTATTGAGTAACTTTTGTGGACCTCACATACACCACCGCAATGTAAGACATTTTACATTAATACAGGGAGCAGAGCTCTTCCAATCCTTTGCTGTCCACCTCCAGATTCAAAGACTCAGACTCAGCAAGGCCTCCAGACTATCTCTGCACATGCACAGGCTTGTGTGCTGCTGTTTCATAGCAACAAGTAGAACATGTCCCTGAGGCCATCTTTTACATTGCTGACCCTACATAGTATCCAGTATGGAGCAGGGATAAACTGCATTTTGGTCAGTGTTGGTTGCATGTATAACTTGGTTAGTTAGATATCTTCAATAGCGATAAATGTTAAGTCTATGCGTACACCAATGGACAAAAGTGTTCCAGTCATTATTTTATATGAGACAGACCAATGAGAGAATGGCATGCGAGTGTTACTGTGATAGCACAAAGTGTGAAAACGCGTGGCTACTGCAACACCTAATCAGTGTGTTCTGCCTTAAGGGCATGTGAAATGTATCTGAGACTAGAAATAACTTCTCAGCTGAAAAGCACAAACGCACATAAACAATATTCTTGATTTCCAACCAAGGGGAAGTCATGTTTTGCTGTTTACATTGATCAGACGATGGCACTATGCTCCCATCTCACTGTAGACAAGTGACATCTCTCCTGCTAAATTAGGAGTTCAAAATGCTGTCTGTTATACACACCACATTTTTGGAGGGCATGTTAGCTCCAAAATCCTCTATATGAACTTGGTAGATGATCTCTTACATAGTGTGAAGCTAACACTTCACAAAGAAAGGCAGATGTTACGTGGATCAATCATAAATATGTACACTTGTTACTGAAATGTGATGAAACAGTCTTGCTTAAAGTCAAGCTGGATTAAGGAAGTCAACATTTAAGTCAAATTAAACCCAGTTCATTTTAGAGTACCGGGCAAATGCATTATTACAATTCGTATTATAATAGGTTCATAAACGGTCCAATCAAAAAAAGGAAAATCAAGAAGATTGCCTCACACTACAAATACAATATACACATTGATGCACAATAAATTAGCATTGATTATATCGTATCAATTAATTAATGCATGACTAAGAAAAGATGGATAAGACTCCAACAAAATAATTTCTTTAAAATGATCGATATGCCATACTCTCTTAAGTGTATTGAATGTCGTAAACAATGCGTTATGTTTAATTTGCTCTATAGTGTGAGCTTTTACTTATTTGAAGTTTCACCTCTCAATAATTTGGTAGATTTTTAAGTAGAATTTAAAGTTTCAAAAAAGTAATTAAATAATGTTTGGGTTGGAATTATTTCAAGGTTAAAAAAAGGAACATTTCCCTTTAGAAGGGTGAATATAACAATATGCAAAAAGAAGACTGAGGATTGAACTAAATGCTCATTATTCAGCCAATGTTGCCTTGACTTTACAGCAATACACCAACAACGTGCAACCAAATTTAAACACTGCATTGGTCCCTACATCACAATGACAGTGACCACACATGGACGCCCCTGAAGTGCTGAATTAACCTAGGTGGACTGTGATACTGCATTCATCATCTACCATTATCTATGGACACGTCAATAGAAAAATTGAAGTGCTTATATCGTTAGCATCATGAGTTTAGAGGGATGCAATGGAGGTTAAACAATACGACAGTAAATATATATATACTTACAATATACTTTTTAAATAACGTTATAACATAGGAGCTGCACACGATGTCACCGATGTGATTTAAGAAAACCGGTGTGACAGTAACATCCTTGGGCCCAGTGTAGCTGTTAGCACACGCTAGCATGCTATTGTACCGTTACTTTGCCAGCTGGAGAAGGAACACATTAGCTACGTAACCTAACCGGCCTATTTCGGTTTCTTTGTTCAAATGTTAGAGAGCGTAGATAGCTAATATTCCAAGCTAACGCTACATTCCAATTGTATCATGCAACCCGGTCTCTTTTTAGTTTACGGTAGCAAAGCTAAGTAGTTAGCTAAGTTACCTACAGTAATAGCAGCCAACTCAGTGGCTCCACAGGCTGCTTGCTAACCGTTAGCCGTAGCTACTGAGCGTGTGCTTATATATTTTTGCCAGAATACTACTGTAACTTGAGATAAAGTTGACGACCATTTCCTATTTTAAAACGGAGGCAAAACTACAGCAACGCCACATTATTTCCTTCACAATCTGTAGTTATCACGACTATCGATGGCATCAGACGGCGCTCATCTCACCTTGTTGCTGTCATCCTCCTCGCCTAGTTATGTTTTGCTGCCATTGGCGCTGTCGCAGTTTGGTTAGGGTTGCCAGATAACACGAAGGAAACAAGTAACCTCAGCGGTGAAAAGACACCGGGGTCGGAACATTATAAACTGCCTTTCAGCAAGTTTATGACACGTTCCACCAACCCTCCTCTCTCTGTGGCTTTTAAGAACATTTACAGTGGTGGAAATTGAACTAAGCACATTTATTCAATACGTTTTAGTAATTTGTACTTTATTCCTGTTTTATGTGATTCTACTGTATTACATTTTGGAGACACATATTGTACATTTTACTGCATTATATGTACAGTAACTAGCTACTTTTCACATATAAAACCCCTTGATATGCTTATATAATATGTAGTAGTGTAGTACTACGTCTTTTTATAAGCAATACAACCAGATGTTCTATTATAATATCATTCTTTAAAAAGAGCCACTGCACATAAGTACTTCAACTTTTGATACTTTAAGTACATTAGGTGCACAATACTTATGTACTCCTACTCAAGCCACCTTTTGAATGTACTTTTAATACCACTTCTTTCACAACTGGATATTTATGAGATAAGCAAAATCAGACAATAAACATGAATTCAATTTGTATTTGAGCCCTCAATAGCTAAACAAACTCAGTCCTAATTAACTAAATGACTTGCTCCCTACTACTTCTACTGACTAATCCTCACTGTGTTTGAATAGAGGAGCCTGATGGAGCGGATCATTGTATTTGTGTTTTCAATCTTCTTTAAACTTCAGCTCCACAATATCCCTGTAAAATAAAATGAACAAATGGAAGAAAATATGTCTAGTCATGTTTATTTTAATATAAGGCAGTGTTCTATTGTGACAAAACAGTAACAGAAGTTCAAGAGGTATCCCCTAATGTAACATGGGTGTAACTTATTTTTTTAAAGAAATCCAAAACAACAAAAGAAAACTCAAAAAGGAAAATTGTCCATTTGTAATAACCAGTCATAATACAATGTTACAGTGTACAAATTGAGAATATAAATACAAATTATTTGACATGTTTTCATTATTACACTATAAAAAACGACATCTGGAAGTTTGACCTTGGACTGATTAAACATCAAATGCACGAGAAAATTATACATGAAAATACAAGTTTTTCATAATTCTAAGAGAATCCAAACTTCATTCCACAATCTTATAGTAATGCAATACGTGAGTGCATCAGTTCAGTGAGTTTTACCCTTCTGGTGTTGAAAATGAAAACAAAACAGCATTCACAGTAAGGCCAAAAGGGGCTTCTCAGGACACAAGTAACACAGTAAATGTGAGACTATTAGGTCAAACCTGTTTTATTTGTTCTTCCTTGATTTATTTCCCCCTATCATTTTGTATATATATCTTGCTGTTTCTTCAAAGTGTAATGTAAAGCACTCTCATACACAGGGTAACTATATGTGATATTTAGAATAGAAGTAGTAGAAGTAGATATGCCTTGTAAAGCTATCTAGAGTATGTAAAAGAAGGAGCAGCTGAAGTTAAGATTCATGAAGTATCAGATCATCTTTACATCTCCAATACGTGCTTATCACATTCTGGGTTGGAGGGGAAGAACTAGCTGTGAGATGTTTTAAGATTAAGCCAAAAAAAGCTAAATGTATTTCATATATACCCCCATAGAGGTATTTAGAAGAGACATGTTTTCTTATTGTGGATCGACAAATCAACATAAAGCTCACTGGAGGCTGTTAAAAAGCAATAAGCCGGCACTTAAAGTGTTTCAGGGCTGTGATAAAGAAACCAGGATAATAACCATTAAATAACATAAAGTGTTGCATTACTATTGAGACACTGAGGCTACATACAGGGAACATTCTATTCAATAGCTTAATGAGATGAATCTGTGAGTATTCTTAATGAAAAAGAAACAATTACTTGCTTAGTCACTTTAAATACACGGACATGTACGTGGCCTGTGCGAAACAAGCAACTGTTACTGTGCAAATGCAGGAAATCCCTTTTGACTTCCCAATGAGACAGCCATGTACTTAATGCAGCATGATGGCACAGGCAGAACATTTACAATTCATGTCCTGTCAAATAAATCCACTGTGCAAGTACAACAATTAAGCAACAATTTATCTTTTGGATGTAACATGAAAGCACTCATTAATAGCACAAACACATGTGATCCCAATGCCGGCCACGTCCCTGGGTGTTCTTGTTTCACTGAGGACGGCCATATCATCATTAAGCCCCCCTGTGTTCAGAAGACTCCCAGTATGAGATGCTGCGTCCACTGGTCTGCTTTTCCCACACTTATTGTAGGAATGCAAATGAGTGGCAGCTTTACAAAAAACCTCCTCATCTACATCGTCTGATTCACCATCCATCATTCCAGAATAAAGAAAGGTGCTATGAGGTAAACAAGAGTCTGCCTGTGACGGAAGGTGCTGCTGCCTGTTGTTCTGTGAATTCAAATCACAGGACACTTTGTCTGACACCTTAGAGCAAAGTTGCGTTTTACTGCTGGGAGATTTGCTGCTGGATGAACTCGACATTATTTTGCATTTGACTTGGGTTTGACTGAGACTCTGTACTTTTTCAGTGAATCCCCCGTCTGTGAGAGGAAGGCTTAAAGCCATTTCTGATCTAGTTTGCCAAGATAAGGCCATAATGCTGCTTCTGTCTATAACCTCGGATGCAGACACAAGTACATTCCTCTTGTAATATGTTGAGGAGTCTGTTTCACTTTGAGGAGAAGCAACGATAGCAGCTCTGTTCTCTCTGTATGTGTCGAGCATCTTCAAGTCAAGGCTCTCTCTGTCCAGAGACCTACTTCTCCTGTCCAGAGACGATGCATTAGGCATGGACTGACTGACTCTTGTAAGGCCAAGGTGCCTTGGGAGACTAGCAATTGCCCATGTGTTACTGATAAGGTTCTGTTCATACATATCTAACATTTGATAGTCACATTCGGCAAATGCATCTTTTTGTAGGTAGCTCTCCTCAAAATCCTGATAGGGCGATGAGATGTCCTCCTCCAGTTCCATGTGGATCTGCTCGTCATATTCACCCTCATTGTGCATATCCACTACATCAAATGTGACTATGGTAGGTAAGGCCTGCATATTTGAAGTGAAGGCAGAGTTTGTCTCCAAATCGTCCCCATCGTTGTGCAAGTTACTCAGCATCTGAGAGTGCTTTGTGTAGTCCACAAGTGCTTGAGAGAAACACACAGTTTGCCCATCATCTGAGTCGTTGATATCAACCGCAGATTGAGAACTGATGTTTTTATACGGCAAAGCCACAGGCTTGTTTTCCTCAAGATGCTGCTCTTTGGGTTCACAGAATGTTTCAAAATCTGGGTCGGACGTGCTGCCGAATGAAACGATGCTGTGCCGTTTCTCACGCTCAGCGTTTACAGATTTTGTTATTTTTTCACTGGAAGGAGGAGACATATTTCCCTTGTCCTCAAACACATTGGGCTCTGTATTATTCTTATTGGCTGATGTTTGTGGTTTTGAATTTAAATTACAGTTTTTTCTGCCGATTTCCTGCCGACCCATCGCCTTTTGTGCCGACTCCGAGGATCTGCTGCATGTGCTCGGCCTTTCTGGAAAACCATGAACTTCATAGAGTTGGCCACTTATTTGTAATCGGTTCATGTCTGGAACAAAGGCAGAATCTGTCACATCAACCGGCTCACTTAAATATTGTTTTGAACCAGGCAGCTTTGATTTGTTTTCATAATGTGGACTGATGAGACTCTCATCAGGTGCAAAAAGTTCATAAAGGGCATCACCGCTGTAACTGTCCCTGGGTAATCTCTCTCCCCTCAATCTGTCAGAGCTCTCCTGTCTGTCATCTGGCCCGGGGGTAGTTGAATCATAGTAGCCCTCATCACTAGTTGGTACCGATTCCTGATGCTCGCTTTGAGGAGTCAATGCATCAGTCATGGAAGAAGCGTCCATGCCACTGGCTTGCTGTGCACTGTTACTGTTCAGTAAGTCCATATCGTGAGAACTTGTCAGGTCAGCAGTCAAATCAGTGATATCTTGGTTGCAAGTATAGCACATTTCTTCTGACGCAGTATTTCCCCAGAAATCCTGAAGACACTCTCCATCCAAATCTTCAGGTGAGGCCATTTCTTCGCCGCCACCCTGATAAGTAAGATAGCAAGAGGCCCGCTTTCCTCCACTTCTGCTCCTCTCTCCAGACACGGTGCTCTCTGTGATGCTGTCGTCTTCTTGGTCTGCGATAATGTCCCCACAGCCAGTGAGAGAATCAAAGCTTTTTAATGATGCCACGTCTCCATAAATCATGTTTAGCTGATCTGATGAGCCGGCAGGTGTTTCAGACTTCAGCAACGGCTCGGACATCGTCTCGAGTTTCAGACATGGCTCGCTGTGTCCTCGTGAACTTTCCTTCAATTCACTGAAAACTACGGCCATCAAACTCATTTCATTATCACATGTCTCAGCGCCAAGCTCGGACTTGGGGCTGTCTTGCTCCACACCCTTCTGTGAAGACATCTCAACAGCATCAACACATTCAGCCCCAATGGACAGGTCACATGAAACATCTGCAAAATCAGGCACATCAGGTTCAGACTCCAGGCACTCAGTGACATACTGCTTGGTGTTGTCCTGGACAACAGGCACCTCTTTTTTGCAGCGAGGAGAGGACATAGCAATCATTTCAGGTTTATCCGATCCAGCATTTCTGTGGTTTCTGTGATACCTAAAACTTTGAAAAAGACTCCTGAAACCCCTTTTCTGACGGGTGAGTGATTTCTGGTCAGCACCCAGGTGACTACATTCATTGTGACAACTACTGTGGAGCTCTCCAGCAGAGCCTCTTGGGTCGTGGTACACTAAATCTCCAGCTGAGTTGTACCCACTTCTCAGATTGTCATCATGACTAAGATTACTCAGCCCATCATGTGTTCTGCTTTTATTGATTGCTTTCTTAGAAGACCACTTGCTCAGATTTTTACTCCTTCCTCCAAAGAAATTAGGTAAAATACAGATATTTTTACGAACTCCGAAAAATGTCAGGGCAGTTCTCCTAAATTTTCCAGATTTTTGAGATTTCACCGTAGTATTCATAGTGTCCAGCTGAGGCTCTTCCATGATATCATCGGGTCCACATTGGGACTTCTCTGCAGAGACGGAAGCCAAATCCTTGCTGTCACTTGGTAGCTTATCTACCTCACGAGAAGCCATGGCTGCTAGGTTCACAAAAGCAGTCCAACAGAAGGCATGGTAGCAGAATGTTCTGAATCAGCCGACAGGATCACTGCAGCTGTTTTCTCCTCCATCTGATAGGACCCCTGTTTTGAGAAAAATGTAATCAAATTTAAAGTCTTACACAAATATATAAAATAAACAATCACACTGCCGACTCAGGGCTCGAGCTTAAGGACGTCCCGTCGTCGAAAAAAATAGTGTCGGGGAGGACACTATTAACATGCTAACGGCGATGAAAATGAAACTGCACGTTTTGTGAAGCACAGTTATTAAACCTCCTTGTCAACATAAACACACACAAAACATTTAGCCACACACACACACACACACACACACACACACACACACACACACACACACACACACACACACACACACACACACACAATGTAGCTACAGCTGTGCCGCTAGCTGTCAGTCAGCCGCACAGCTTGCTGTGCCTGCGAATTCCTAGCCCGCAAATTTGCAGGTCTAGCTATGTACTGATTGTGTGTATTTCGCAGGTTGAGTGATGTACAATGACATCCCGTGGAAGAATTCTGAAATGTTTTACCGTTACATCACAAAAACGCACAGCAGAACCAGACCCTGGAGCGCCAGCCTCTTTATTTACTTACTCCTCTTCATCCCCTATGGGTAATAAGGCTGAGATGTGAACCCTCCATCGTATTTAGTCCTTAGCAATATGCTGCGCCTCTCCCCATGTAGGGATGGGCCCCGGGCCGGAATTATTAAAGACAGTAGTAACGTTAAGCTCCGACGTTTTCAGACTTTTTATCGGTACTGGAGACATTTAAAAAAGATATGTCATATGTATTATTGCTACATAAACATTATATTGCAGTTTTAGTTTCGCCAACTCCGTTTCTAATATGCAATAAGACTACAACATGCGTCTATGATGTATTTTCTACCTTTCCAATCCAGACGAGATCTCTCTCTCCCGTCTGTGTGCGAGGGTTATTTATGTTAAAAGGTCAATTTGAATGATTTTAACTAATGATAATGTAGAAAAACTAATATTTTAAATTCGGGACGGTCCACATTAATTTCGGGACGGCTTAGATTGTATTTCGGGACAATTTTGTGGCAGAAGTACAGCGCCACTTACAGGCCCGGCATATGTACTACAGCGTCTCCAGCGCTTTCGAGCGGTCTCGTGTGAACGGACACGTTTCTGGTGCCTATTGCGTGTGGACGGAAGACTTTTTTGATATCGAATTTGGTTCGTTTGCGTTACCGTTCTCGTGTGGCTCCAGTCTCAAAAGCCACTTTCACACCAAGTACTTTGCCGTACTTAGTTCCCAGCACTTAGTACCCCCATGGAACTAAGAGCAGATCGCAATTAGAGATGTCCCGATCCGATCACGTGATCGGGGATCGGAGCCGATCACGTGATTTTTAAAATATCGGAATCGGGAGAAAAAGATCGGAACAAACACAAAAACAAAAATGACCATGTTCACGTCTTAAAGTCATCCTGAGGCCTTAGTTTTGGTTTAAAATTACACAACATCATGTATGTGTTGCTTCTTTTGGGCTTCTTTTCATAGACCTGGTTGCTTATTTCTCTCAAATCTGGCAACAGAGTGGGCAGGGTTCCGTGTGTCTAATACAAGGGGCAAAGTCTGGGGAATAGCCGGTGTTGTGCCGTAGATTGAAGCCTTGCCGTAGATTGAAGCCCTGTTCGCGGGGACGCGCAAACATAACGTCATCGCCTGTATTGAGCGTTCGTCTAGTTTAATAAGCTTTTCTCTCTCTTTTGAACAGTGGCGGCTGGTGGAAAATATTTTTGGTGGGTCTTTTGATATAGTGAGTAAACAATTTTTTTTGGGAGAAATGACCCCTTAAATTAGGACTTCTGGTGATGTAATGGCGCGTTTCCAGTGCAGCGCGGAGCTCGCTTTAATGCTGCGTTCAGACCAGACGCGATGCGAATATTCGCTTCGCTCTAAACGCTCCTATCGCATCGCTCTAGTCGCTCGAGTTTCACCGCGGCTGCCAGCTGTGTTTACTCGCATCATTCAAACAAGACGCGCTGGCTCGGGAGCTACAACTACAACAAAATGAACATATTTTACCGTGATTAAATTGTAATACACGTTTCTAAATGATGCCGACGTAACAACATACTGATACCGGTTAGTAAAAACCATGAATTAATGCTTTGACAAGTCTGAAGACAGACGGCAGGCGAAAAACCTTTTAGAATGCTTGTTTTCTGAATGGAGCTTGGCTAAGCTAACGTTATATATGTTCCGACCGTCCACACTCACAACAACGGCCTATACAGACATAAATAAACCAGCGACTGTATTCTCCATGACACAGACAGTCTGTGGTTTGTACTTGTTTAACTTTTGTCTAGTTTCTGAACAGATCGTATCTGTCCCCGGCTGTTTGAAGAGCAAGCATGGGAAACAAAAGATAGCATTTACCTGTTTGCATCGTTTGCATCCAGCTAGCCTCGTTGATACGTTTTGTCTTTTCACGAGCTTGCTGTGATATATACAAATCGGGTTGGTCCGGTCCAAGGTCTTTAAGTATCAATTTATCTCCCAAACTTCTCCTTTGGAAAGGATTGGAGAGTAGCTCTTGCACAGAATTGGGTGCGGACCAAGGTCCGGCGACTCCACCTGCACATCATTCTAAATACTGCGTCACCTTGGTCACTCACGAGTCTAAAAAAACAACTCACGTCACGTAAGCAACGTGGGCGCCAACGTGAGCGCCCTCGTGACCAAAACATTTGACGGCGCTGATTGGCTGAAATTATGTTTCGGCGGCACAGTTTACTATTGAGACTTTTGCAACGTGCTGGTTGCTGCTGTTTGTCTCGGGGGCTCCGCCCGGTAATGATAAACTAATGCCATGGGCAAGGCCAGGCAGGAAACATGTGACTTATCAGTAACTTTAGACATCGTAACACAATTTTAAACGAGATTTTATTGTAGATTATACATTTTACTGATACCAATTGTATGATATTTACCTTGTTCATTAAAAATGAAAATATAAAATATATATATTTTTTAAATATTTTTTTTTTAATGTGGGAAGAGGTGGGGCGGCGCCCCTAGCGCCCCTATGGGCCGGCCGCCACTGCTTTTGAATGATATATTTCTCATCAGATTAAACAGCAAACGGCTGAATAAATAATGTGCATACAATTGCGAGGAGGCTCGTTTTAAGGACACTTTTTAGATAGTCACAATCTTCGTATTGGAACAAACTTCCGTTTTTGAGTGCAGTCCCACTCTGCTATGTTCCTCCTTCCTACAGAACAGACAATGACAGGATAATATGTCATTTGTCAGTATAGTCCTATTTCTTAAAACCTTCTCTGTTGTTTAAGTGTCTGATAACCACGAATAGTAAGCAATGATATAACAGTAATGATATCACATATATGATCATGTCAGACACTGTGTTATTTTCAATCAAGCCTAAAAGATAATGTGTTCAAACTGGCTTCACTCACTTGAATTGCTCCTTTGAATATCATTTTTATATATCCCTACTCAACACATGTTTGTATTGTAATGCCACTATTTTTTTTTTTAAATGGTATTTTAAAGTGACATTGAATGCTTTGAAAGGTGCCCTAAAATAAAGTGTATTATTGATCTTATATCTGTGCCTCTATTACATTACATTTCATTTTCTATCACACTATTAATGTTCCTTATTTTAGACTAGGTTAATCCTGGTGTCAATAGGGAAGATCTGCACTGTTCTCTACATAACATGTTCAGAGCAGGTATTTCTCCTGCCGGATTTGGAACCCCCCCTATATCTTTCTCCAGGATAGTCACAGACTCACCAAAATCACACTGGTGCTTACTGTTCCCCTCTAGTTTGTGTTTACAAAAGCATTTTACTCTGGGCCCTGCAGGTGAAAAACTAAAGAGGGGCTTCAAAATCCGGCAGATCAGGTGTTGGTGCTGCCGGATTTGGAAGCCCCTCTTTAGTTTTGTACCTGCTAGGCCCAGAGTAAAATGCTTTGGTGAGCACAAACTAGAGGGGGACAGCAAGCACCAGTATGATTTTGGTGAAGTTGTGACTATCCTGGAGAAAGATATAGGGGGGGGTTCCAAATCCGGCAGCACCAACACCTGATCTGCCGGATTTTGAAGCCCCTCTTTAGTTTTTCACCTGCAGGGCCCAGAGTAAAATGCTTTTGTGAGCACAAACTATGGGGAACAGCAAGCACCAGTGTGATTTTGGTGAAGTTGTGACTGTCCTGGAGAAAGATATGGGGGGGGTTCCAAATCTGGCAGCACCAACACCTGATCTGCCGGATTTTGAAGCCCCTCTTTAGTTTTGTACCTGCAGGACCCAGAGTGAAATGCTTTTGTGAGCACAAACTAGAGGGGGACAGCAAGCACCAGTGTGATTTTGGTGAAGTTGTGACTTTCCTGGACAAAGATATAGGGGGGGTTCCAAATCCGGCAGGAGAAATACCTGCTCTGAACATGTTAGAGAACAGTGCAGATCTTCCCTATTGACACCAGGATTAACCTAGTCTAAAATAAGGAACATTAATAGTGTGATAGAAAATGAAATGTAATGTAATAGAGGCACAGATATAAGATCAATAATACACTTTATTTTAGGGCACCTTTCAAAGCATTCAATGTCACTTTAAAATACCATTTAAAAAAAAAAATAGTGGCATTACAATACAAACATGTGTTGAGTAGGGATATATAAAAATGATATTCAAAGGAGCAATTCAAGTGAGTGAAGCCAGTTTGAACACATTATCTTTTAGGCTTGATTGAAAATAACAGTGTCTGACATGATCATATATGTGATATCATTACTGTTATATCATTGCTTACTATTCGTGGTTATCAGACACTTAAACAACAGAGAAGGTTTTAAGAAATAGGACTATACTGACAAATGACATATTATCCTGTCATTGTCTGTTCTGTAGGAAGGAGGAATATAACACAGTGGGACTATACACTCAAAAACGTAAATTTATTCCAATACGAAGATTGTGACAGATCTGAAAAACGTGTCCTTAAAACGAGCCTCCTCACAATTGTATGCACATTATTTATTCAGCCGTTTGCTGTTTAATCTGATATATCACTCAAAAGAGAGAAAAAAGCTTAGAAAAGGGTGAAAAAAGCTTAGAAAACGGCGAACGCTCAATACAGGCGATGACGTCACCTTTGCGCGTCCCCGCGAACAGGGCTTCAATCCACGGCAAGGCTTCAACCTACGGCATAACACCGGGACGCCAATACGAAAGTGCCACACACTGCAGTTCATATATTGGCCGATAGGCGATGGCTGCAGAAAGGAGCAATTTCCATAGACCCCCCATGTTAAAATGCCCAATTTTACAGCAGAAAAAAACATGTTTCTACCCCTGGCTCCATACATTTTATTATCGATATAGTTAGATTCCACCTTCATGATTATGGATCTGGGAGTGAATTGTTTTCTAACACGACCCTTTTATTTATATTAGGTCTTAAAGTTTGTGCATAGATTAGGGCGTGGTCACATTGAGTGACGGCTCTGTCAAGTGACTGCTGCTGCTAGCTTCTTGTCTCTCTGCTAGCTGCTCCGTGAAGCTACAGGGACTCTGCCTGCTCAGTTCATCCAGGAAACACAACTTGTAGCCGGCCGTGGTTGTTTGTTCTTCATGCTTATATATCGGACTATTGTGACTCGCTCTGCGGTTAAAACAGACGGTGCATGAATGCGGTTTTGCGGTAAGTGAAATTCGAGTGCTTTATTTATGTGTTAATGATTTTAATCAGCTACGTAATGAATGTTAAGGCTTGGGTTAGCGTGTAGCGAGTGGTAGCTACATCGGTGCTAACGATGCTAATCGTAGCCTCCAAATAAAAATAATAGACTATATATAAAGGTTAAAACGAAATAGACAAGCGTTAAGTGGGATAATACTGTTGAACAAACGGCTTCTGTTTGACGTTGATAAAATAACGTCATCCTTGTAACGTAGAGAGATATTTTATTATGTAGGTAGGAACTGTATGCATGCCAACTAGGTTGATTTAAATTGGCTATGCTCAAGTATGTAGACAAGTTAACGTCGAAGTAGTGTATGTGAAATCAACCTCACAATAAGATGTGTATATTACAATTATTAATGTCATATTTCAAGATGATTACTTAGATATTACAATATGGTTGGTTGAGCTGGAGTTCATTATCGAGCTTACACGTTAACGTCACAGTCATCTGAAGAACGAACCTAAACCTTGTTGTTTTTATTAATTGCATTACCAAATAGGTATCAAATAAACAGTAAGCATTGCTAACACAACTTCCAAAGTTACAGTAAAATAAAAAAGGACCCTGACTCGGACAATACAACATGTTCAACAGAAGATAATCAGTTATATTGTTTGTACACATGGTACTTTACATATATATCTGTTTGTTTAAGGTGTCCAGGTGATGCAGACAGAACTGGACTCCTCACAGCAGTGAACTTCAGCACAGGTACAAAAACTTATTATACATCCATGCTTGACTTCCACCCGAAGTCTCCGGCCGGAAGTCCCCAGCAGCTTCCACTGAAGCCCTCCTCATCACTCCACCGCTCCCATGTTTTTCTCTCTCCGTTGGTGCGCTGGGCTAATGATAATGCTAATAATGCTAATGCCAGCAAATACAATGGCAGCTTCAAAACACTTTTCAGAGTTTTACGGGGCGTGGTTTGCAATTTGCCCAGCCTATCAGAAATTGGAACTTTTTTCTCCCCAGGAAAGTACCTGCTCTCTAGCAGGGACTGAAAAGGGGGACAAAGTTCTGATGAACTAAGTTCTCTTTTTGGTGTGAACGCAAAATCCCAGGAACTATCGGAACTAAAAGGGAAAAATACGGGGAAAATTACTCCGGTGTGAAAGCGCCTAAAGTCCTGCAATCAAAATGGTACTCAAGTAAAAGTACTCATCATGCAGATTATATGTTTCGATAATAATGTCGATGCATAAATGCTTTTTTCAACGCTGGTAAAGGTGCAGCTAATTAGATTACTGTATACAGTGCAGGGGGGGATTTTACTCCAGGTGTAATTTAAATCCGATTTAAGTGTTTATTATTTCACATCATTAATCCAAATCTGCAAAGTCTAAACAAAGGTATTACATATATGTAGTGTAGTAAAAGTACAACATTAACCTATGTTATAATAATTGTATTTGGGTAGAAGTACAACAAATTGAAATAACCAAGTAAAGTACCCCACAATTTTGTAAATAAATGTAGGCCTACTTAGTTACTTTACACCACATATATTGTTGTAGGCCTACATCTAAAAATACGAAAATTCCAGATAAAGAGAAAAACAGACTAAGGTAACGTAAGTAGATAAAAAAAACTGTAACATTGTGCCTTTATATTAGCATGTTAAAGCCCAGGGTATAAAGCAACAGGCTAATGTTGGAGCTGTAACAATGAGCCCCTGACGCTCTGCCACAATAAAGACCAGCGGTGATAGGTGGGTCAAAATACCTCCAAAATATACTTTTAATGAAAGCCTTAGCAAATATAATACACAATAGCTAACATTGAATAGTTTACAACCAAGACACCCGGTTCGACACTGTCACTTTCCTGTAAATTCAAACTAAATGGCACATTAGCAAGGGAGGAGCTAACCGAGTCGTAAGGTAAACAAACTTACCTACCGAAGCCAGAATCCTGCAGCCCGGAGCCGGTGTTGGGTTTTCACCGGGAGACGAAGTTAGCTCACAGTGCTTTCTGCTAACTTTAACTTACTGCTGAAGGCGAGTGCTCGACTCGGGCCCCGGAGTAGCTTTCACCAGATACGGTTTCATTTGTTCCCAGCCACCGTTAGCTAGCCGGGGTGCTTGCTAACAACGTAAAGCCCACAAAGTGCAGTAGTGGTTGTAGTGTGAGTCTGTTGCTAACGATGGGTACGGCTGCAGCACATCGCAGTAAAACTGTTCCGTTTAAATTCGCATAATGTGTGAACACTGAGCCTGGTTTAACCACGCATGCCAAATGTACTTATACCTCCTCAAAAAACCCCAGCATGCGTTCAAATGCTGGGTGATGATTCTTTTCCCGACTTCTCAGGTACAATTTACCCAAATCTCCTTTCGTGACTCGGCGCATGCTAGTGACGCAACATGTGATGAAATATCATGCATTGTTCATTTTGCACATGACATGTAAAAAAAGACATTATTCTTATTGATTAAATATACGTGAGTATAACTCTTTACATAATAATATCGCAATGTTCTATAATTGTGTAGTATTAATTATGGTTTATGCCATTTATCTTTTACTCTTAACATTAGTATGCATTTAATTATTGTATTCAAATGTATTTTTGTTTCACTGTACTCAAATATTCAGTACGTGTCTGTAATATTAAAATGCCTTTTCAACCGTACAATTAAACACAACAATGATAGTGATCTTAAAAAAGAAATACAAAATTATAAAAATAATAATAATGCGTTTTACACATTGTATCAATTTGTTTTACGGTATGGGTAAGGGATCCTGGATTAGGGGAAATCGTTTACATTTACTTGTGTTTTGAGAAAAAATTCAGACTGATATCTCATCATTTATTTTTAAATAATATAAACTTTATTTATACTTCAGAGTAACATTAGAAAATGGAAATACCAGTGATGAAGACATGTACACAACAGTAAAAACATATTTTAATTAAATAAATTACCCAAACAATAAATACAAAATGTAAATGTAAGTATAGGAAATTGTTAGGGGGAGCTTAACTGCCTTATCATTCAGAGAAGAAAAGGCTATTTCAATTGTATTTTTGACATTGTTCAAGACAACACATTATGGGAGTTTGCTTCTGAGGAATTTCGTGTTATGGATAGGACATTTAGCTAGAAGTGTGATAGAGTCGTCTCTGAAATCATTATAACCAGAGATAACATTGTCAAACGTCAAGGATGTTTTTTATCTCTTGGAATACTCACAGCTTCAAAACAAGTGAAACAAGTCTTCAATATGAAGGTCACAGAAGGAGCAGGAAGAGAAAAAAACGTACGATGGACCATTTTGTTTTGTGATAAAAAACGAGGGAAAGAAATATATATAAAAAAATCTATTATTAAAATAATTGTCTTATTTACAATTATTATACATATATTTACAGAAAGTCTAACATGTTGTCTTTGTTACACACGACTCAATATGATGCCCTTTCAAAATTAGGTAAAACGTTGCTACAGTTAAAATTGTGACCCGGTTCAACATCTGGTATTAATTTAAATACAGTGCAATTTTGTGATCCCTGCATACAAGCATTTAACTGCTTACTTACCCTTGTACTTTTTCAAATACTGTTTTTCAATGTGCTTTCAATTAGTTGTGGTCCTCTTCAACATGTCCTCTTCATTGTTGGTCTGCTTGCAACCAAGTTTCCCTAATTTTACTCAACATTTTTGTTCCATTTATGTCTTTGACTGCCGGACATCAGTCCACTCCATTTTGGTGTTTTGCAGCGCCTGAGTCTTCTTCTCATCCACCTGCACATAATCCACTCTGTACTCATCACACAGTAAGGGCTTCTGCTGGACGAAGAGAGGGAGAGACAAAGAAAGTGATATGTTACCAATCTGAATATGGTTCTGCTATATTTGCCCCAACAAGCAATCATGTTGAATTGAATGTATTTTAACCAATTGTGTGTGTTGTACAAGCCTTGATGTATAAATCTTGTAGGATAATATGCTAATATCATGCATTTTTTTATTGCAAGTGATGTTGTGCACATATAAAACACAAATAAAAGTAACTTCTCATGTTTCAACATATGAGCACTTGTTGACGTTCGGGGATTAAAAAGTTGGCCAACAGTTACTGGAAACTTAAAATGTAAGTTGTATTGGCTTATTTCAATAATGTGATAGCATGATTCCTTCAGATATTAGTCCAGATCTGCTGCAAGCTAGCTAGCTAGCTAATGTTACTAACCTAGTCATTGAAACATTGTTACTGAAACAGACTAATTCTGCTTGACTGGCCAACTTTATAATAATAATTATAGTTATAATAATAATCTTTATTTGTATAGAACCTTTCATACAATAATTACGGTTTTAAAGTGCTACACAGTAGACATCTCTTAAAATACTCACATAAAATGTATATCACATAGAATACAGTTACCAGTAAAATACATAAAAACAAACTTAAAATAGCATGGACATGCAAAAAATACATTTAGATTAAAAGGTACGACAATAGTGCAAATACAACACAACATCAGGTGACAGGTTAAAATGAATCATAGTGCATAGAAAAGTGCAGCAGTTAGCTTCCTAAAAGGCTAAATTGTTTATTTATTTTTTTAAGACTTCCACCAATGTCTATAGTTATTTTGTCCCATAGCTTTGGGGCATAATTAACAAAAGCTGCATCAACAATCTTCTTTTTGCTGCTGTTTTTGGGAGCCTCTAACAAACCAGCAGCAGAGGATCACAGTGTTCTTCACGGCTTGAAGCTGACAATTGGGAGTTGGCAATATAGCTTGGTCCTTGCCCATTAAGGGCCTTATATGTCAGGAGGAGGACCTTCAAATCATTTCTAAAGTAAACAGGAAGCCAGTGCAGAGCGGCTAAAACTGAACTAATGTGTTCTCTCTTCTTAGTTCTGGTTAACAGCAGAGCTGCAGAGTTTTGGATGAGCTGAAGTCTGTCAGTAGTTTCTTTCGGGAGAACAGTGAAAAGTGAATTACAGTATTCTATCCGGCTTGAGACAAAGACATGTATCAGCTTCTCAGCGTCTTTCTGATTTATGAATGGACTTACTATAGCAATGTTTCTAAGGTGAAAGAAAGATGTTTTTGTCACATTTAGCTAATGGGAGAGCTGAAGCTTAGATCTGAATCTAATATAACACCAAGACTTGTGACCTCTGGTTTGATCCTGGAAGTAAATCTCCCCAGATTATTAACCAGCATTTCTCTTTTTGCTTTGGATCCGACTAGCAGGATTTCAGTTTTGTCCTCATTCAGCTTTAGGAAGTCACTGCTCATCCATTTATCTATCACCAATAGGCAGTTGGTGATGGAGGTAATAGCTGCAGCGTCATTTGGTTGGTATATATAGAGTTGTGTATCATAGACATAGTTCCCCAAACATCATCCAGTGTTCTGGTCCCAGCTGTGTGCATCACTTTTTAGTGTCCCCGTTTCCGTTGTGTTTTGTCAAAGATAGTTAATGTGAGGTTTTAGCTGTTATCTCTCGACTGTGACTTCATTTGTTTCCAGATTGCCTCAGAAACACTCAAAGCGCTTCATTAGGTTGGAAGGGACATTACAAAGTGGAAAAAGTTACACTGGCAAGTCTTTTCCAGGGAAGAATAATCAGGAAGTCTGTTATTATGTTTAGAGGCTCATTGGTGCGAACGTATTTGTATATATTCCTTATGTTTTGTTCTATTTCATAATAACAATTGGGTTCATTTTTGTCTTTAATCTGATCGGAACATACCTTCAGCACAGGAGAGGGGGATGCGGAATTGAAATCAAGGGACAAATAGTCGAGGTTTGATCTTCTCGCTCCATCGAAGCTGTGACTGAAATGTTGCCTTGGATCCTGTCGGAGAAAATAAATACATTGAGACGGGTAAAAGGGTCTGAATATATAATGTATTTCCATATTTTCTACAGTATTACTACTCATTCAATAAAAAGGTGGCCTTAAACTTAGTTTTCAAATTCTGGAAAACATTGAAATCTACTTGTTTCCAGAGTGCAGCTGGTCAGCATGTGTTTGTATAACTGGAGATACATGACTATTATGCTTTGTTATGCTTTGTTTCTTGGAAAATCGATTAAATATGCACCGTTTCCAAGAACTGCCTTGTACGACATCACATGGTTACTCACAACCCAGTACATTTACAGTATGCTGAGCAGAATTCTCAGTAAACATCTAATCTGCGTTGCGATTAGAGCACATTTTACAACCCAAATATTCCTACAATTGTATCAGATTTAAATATTCTTTTAGTGTTCTGTTTAACAAAAATGAGCAGAACGATGAAGTTGATATTAAAGTCAACAGTGAAAAAACATATAATCACAATTTGATAACACATTGATCTACATTATGGTTTGGAAAGTGGCATCAAGTTGAAGTGGATGATTGATACAACTTACATGACTAGGAGCTGGCATAAAGGTGGGCTGAATTACTAATGCCACACAGTGAAAGTAAATGACCATCAGAGCTACTTCCATTTATCAGTTATTATTCACAATGGCTAAGTGAAAGGCCTCATTAAGTCCCTGATGGAAAGGAAGGTGATAACATTAGTAACCCTCCTGTCGTGTTCAGGTCAAATCTTACCGATTCACTACTTTCATCATCATAAATATTGTGTTTTACATCTGATTGCCTCAAGGCCTTATGATGTCCTCCACAGTAGGCATTTGAACACACAACACATTACTTATCACCACTTTCATTGGGTTTTTAGTGGTTTAGTCAACTATTGTGTTCCCACTTCAAAAGTGACAAACAAATTGACAACCATGTTCATTTTGGAATACATTTTCAGTGTCTATTCTTTTTATATTCACTGCAGTTAGTTATTTAAACCAGTAGTCAGAGACATTGTTTACAGCTTAAAAGGGTGTTAAATCAATTTTGGTGATGATTTTCTTGTTATGTGTTAATGTGAAAGCAGTTGAAACAGACCTGTCAAATTAGACCGGAAACCCCACAGTAAGGGGGGAGAAACGAACATGACAGGAGGGTTAAAAAGGCATGATCAATACACTCTATCATCACTACATATACATGGTTCAAATAGTTTTCACGCCTTCACGATAGTTACCATTGTGGTGCAGTTTGTGTCTTCATCTGTTGGATTTTCCCCATTCTCAAGTCTTCTTTCAAGAGGCAAACATTTCACCGAAAAGCTGCACATAGAAACAAAATATTGTTTCATGTCAGAAACCAACCACAAACTGCATGATAAATAGAAACTGAGAACAGGATGTTATCCTTGGGTCGGGTCAGCATATCTACAACCAACATAAATGAACATAATTAAAAGGTAAACCTTACTCTAAATGAGATGTAGTTGTTAATCAATGGCAGTTCCTGAACCAAACCACATAAACAATCGTGGTTAAAGAGATTGTTTTCCTCTCACCATGCTTCAGTCATTGCTCTGCTCAGAGGAAGATGAGTGGGACATTCTGTGATGGTAGAGAGGCCTCTCAAGTCAAGAGGTGGAGGTCGAGCTGTGAACCCAGAAAGTAATTGGACTTGTTGTAATAGTGATGCGTAGAAAGGATCATTGTGTGTACAATAAAGATATCTAAGACATTGCTTTAGCCTAGCCATGCAGGAAGGAAAGGAACATTACATTCTACATTTGTAAACCTTGTTAAAACTATAACAAAGACCAAATCAATTATCCCAGCTGAGTATAGATACATTTTCCACACATTGTCAACTGTTGCGCCTCTCACCTCTCCTCAGGCGAGGCTTGAGGTGCCGGTGAATCGGAGGCGGCACAAAGTCTCCAGGTGGACACATCAGTGGGCCGAGAGTGGTGGAGGACTCGGCGCTGCAGTTTGAGTTGAGGAGGCTGAATGTGCTGGGGCTCATGGGGATGTAGCCATCACTTTCAGTGGGGGCTGCCGAGGGAGACGGGGACGCCATGGGGACATATGACTCATCCTGGAAGCTTTGAAACCGTGTGCTATTCAAACCATGCTGCTGAAAGACAAAGCATGCTGAGGTCACACAAGTGCACTGTATCTTTATTTTGATACTGTGTGTTGAATTATAGCACATACATTATTCTTAATGCATATGCTTTTATTTTTAACCAACTGGGTGCTAAAGTTTTGTATTTACAATCCTAAAGTCTTCTTTTTAAAAATAGACATTTACATTTTGATGAGTTAGTTGAAAATAATTCAATGTGACTGCGCAGTCTATTTGACTAGTACATTTGAAGCAACAGCAAAGAGCTACTTCGTTTAGCTTAGGCCAAAAGTGACAAGGCTTTCTTGCTATGGGTTCAATTGTGAGTACACTTGCCAAACACACATCAGGGTTGTCATAGTTACGTACTGTAATAACTACGTCACTTGCTTATTTTAGACCACACCAAATCATTTCCTTAACATAACCAAGAAGTTTTACATCCTAAACATAACCATTTATTTCCATTTCACAGGGTTTAATATGATCTCAAGATGAATGGTCACTGTGCGACTGTCAAGTCAAATGGCCCTATACAGTATGCACTGCAGTATGTAGGAGAACATGTTGCAAAAAACATATGAAGGTTTTTTACAGAAAGATTATAAAACATTGTTTATTTTTTTACTATTGATGTTGCTCTTACCAAATTAAGGCTCTGCCTCCTGTTTTTCATCAATCTGTTTTCAGCATCTCCTAAAGAAAGACGTGTGATTAGAATAAGTCATTAGTTATTTTCAACCTTTACAGTCAGTTGTGTTCAACATGAAACCCTATACTTCGCCACACAATAGCACAAGGGTTATAATCAATTGTAAAAGTCAAAGTTTTCTCAGGTTGTGTATGATGCTAACTGTGAGAGTGCTGTCCTACCTATTCTGAAATGGTCCAGGCCCGACAAAGAGGTCCTCCGGGGGAACAAAGTGGCGTGGTTTGGGAAATGCCGTGCACTCGTCCTCATCAGGTGAGCTGCTTCCTCACTTATCTGCTCTGACAGGTGGTTAGACTTGGGTGGCAGCGGAGGAGGAGTCTGTCTTTCAATTGTTGCCTCGAACACCGCAGATGAATAAGGTTTGTCGAAGCGGAACACACTTGTGGCGCCGTGACATAGTGGTGAGGAAGAGGATGATGGTAGAGCCATGGAGGAGCATGGATCGCTGAAAGGAGGGTTGGTCAGCCTTCCACTGAGGAAGAGAGATGGACTGGGGCTGGTCTGAAAGATGGAGGACGAAGAGGAATCGGTGTGCGAAAGAGGAATAGGTGAGGGGACAGCGTCCTTGAACGCATCGTCCGATGACCTCTGCTCCAGGGAGATCTCAGAGTTTGAAAAGCTGTCATGTCTATATTGGAGAGGGATACAAATATCGTATGTGTTAAACATGAACACTGAAAAAACCTTGACCTTAATTAGGTGTATTATGTCAGCAGATTTCACATTACTGTATTAGGTTATATGAATACTAAGTTTAAATATTAGGTTCAACTTAATATTATTGCTGTCAACTTACCGAATACAGTTATGAGACATTTGTTTTCTGTGAACTACACAAAGGTTTTCCAGATGATACATACCGAATAGTGTTCACACTTCCCGTCTCACATTGTGAGAGAAATAGGTAGTCAAGTGGGTGGCTGGAATCCTGTTGGCTGGATACAGACACTCTGTCAGAGCCGTCAGGTGACGGATGGAGGGAGGTGGGGGTGTGAGGAAAGCCTTCTTCTGAGCTCTCTGGTGTTGAGAAGAAGCAGAGGCAGAAAACACGTAGATTCATGGGATTAGAAAACCTTCATACAGCCGCACACACACAGGTTTCTTTCTTGACAATATACTGCAAATGGGGCAGGTGAATTTAAACAGAGAACACCATTTTTTCCCCGAAACCTTGAAAGAAGACACATGTGATCTCTGTTCCCTATTTTGTTTATACATCCTGCAATCTTTTAGTCGGACTGGCCCTCGTTCAGAAATGTGTTTCATTCCATTTCACTCAAGGCTGCCGAGTCAAGGCTGTTCCTGCAGAACCGTGTGTGTGTGTATGTGTGTGTGTGTGTGTGTGTGTGTGTGTGTGTGCATGTGCATGATTTGCTACCCTTAAGGGTTAATAGACGTTTATGTTCTCTTGCGGGTACAGAACAACCTTTTATATTCCTAAAAAGTCTTGATATCAAGAAAGACTTATCTCTTCCACCAACATGACATTCTACTTAATTAACTTATACAAAATCTACTCTAACCTAACTCTAACTCTGTATGTGTTAAGTGTGTAGTTTCTTTTTTCATTTTCATGGTCCACAGGTCATGAAAAAACTGATGGTTTTGAAAATAAACATTAGTCAACATGGGTCATTAATGGTGCTTAAATGTAAAGATTTTGTGCATGGATATAATTTCACTTTCATCTTCAGTTTGTAATGTAATGTTCACTTTCTGTATGTGTGCCTTTCACATTTGTGTCATGTTCTCAACAGCCACCTGCCTTTTAGATTTAGCACATTTATCAATTATCAAAGTGTGTTTTTCTGAAAGCATACAACATTTTGAAGTGACATACAGGGCAGCGTATTTATCAGCAACTTTGCTTTGTCTACTTCACACAGATTGTTCTAACAGACTTCTCTACTCACAAAATATCTCTATGCTTTTATAGGAAGCAAAGGTCAAACAGAATGGTCCTGACCACGGACTGAAAGAGGGATCATAGCACTGTATATATAATATATATACTGAATATATATTTAAAAGACAAAAACATTTCATTCTTTGCAGCTTCAAAGCATGTCCCTGGATGAGATATAAAAATGTCATTATCTATCTTTTAGGACCCTCCCTCTCCATCTGCTGTCTAATACAGCTACATACTGTAGGCTGTGTGAAAACATTTAGAATTGCTTAAAACATCCTGCACACAGACACAGACAACAGTCTGATGTATGATAAAACATGCCATCACATCCACTTTAACGAGTTGAACAGCCATCTGAAATGAATTTTAATACCAAAAGCATTGTGTTAAAATGATAATTTGAACTATTTCAAAAGTTAACATTGAATTTGCATAATTAGGCCTACTTGTTGTTGTTGCTGCTGTAGAAAGTGGACCATGAGATCTGTATCAAAAGCTTTCAACCACTGACGTGACATTGTGTGATGTTGGTTTAGGAACGCACTTACAGAGAAATTGATCAGAATAGACCACAGCTCTGAATCATTCTCAGTGAGCTAAAAATGTGCTTCAATGTTTTTAACTGTCAACAAATCTAACCACAATCCAGATAGATGGTAAATTACTTTTTTTAAAGGTCCCATGACATGCTTTTCCAGTTATTACCTATGGTTATTACCCGTCCCCTTGTGTGTTATGTAGCTTTTTCTGCATTTAAACGGTCTGCAATGTCACAAACCCTCAAAGTACACCCTGTAGCGAGTAAAACTCTAACACAGAAAGTACCTGTCTATGCTGCCCCAGAACACCCTCGTTGGAGATCTTTCGTTTTCCATTTTTTTCTTCCGGAGCTCCACACACACACACACACACACACAACAACACACACACACACACACACACACACACACACACACACACACACACACACACAACACACACACAACACACACACACACACACACACACACACACACACACACACACACACACACACACACACACACACACCACACACACACACACACACACTCACGCACACACACTCACGCACACAACACACACACAACACACACACACACACACACACACACCACATACACACACCACACACACAACACACACACACGCACACACACACTCGGAGCTCAGGTGTGAGTGTATGTGTGTGCTCAGGCTGAGCTCTGTGGTGTCTCGCTGTCTCGCAGCCCCACGCAGCAACCAGGGAAACTACACCAGTAATCTAGCTCACACTGTTCCGCTCCTCGAGCCTCAAAGGGCGAGCAGCGAGCCCCGCAAGTCCCGCCAACACGGCACCCAGACCCCACGCAGCATTCTTATCTGTTTGTCATTACTGGTGTCATTTTCTGGTTGCTAACAAACGCCAATGTAACACATAATCACTGATGTTCCGCTGTAACGGTGGTGGACTCATCAGAACAGAGTGGGAGCTGACCAATCAGAGCTCATAGGGAGGGGGGGGGCAGAAGCTCCAACAAGCCGTTTAGGACAGAGAGTGAATACACATACTATACAGAGATGCTGTATGAGAAACCAATGTGATTTTGGAACATTGAACAATGTCAATCTATTTTAGTAGACCTCAACAATGGAATTATGATCAGTAGAAATGGCCATGACATGGGACCTTTAAATCTTGATTTGGCTCTTAAACTGTTCTTGAGGTGTTTTAAAAATGTAGATTAAAATGCTTCAGACTTTACCAATTGTTGAAATTAAGGCAAAATACTAAATTTTTGCGTCATTTTATGCATATTAAGAATCTTTAGAAACGGTGTGAAACAAATGAGGCACTTTAGGTTTGACAAATCATTCACAACATGAGTTTGTAGTAATCAACCCTAGTGGTAGGGCAGATTTACACATCATCAGTTAAAGCTGCATTTTGGATATTTTGTAGCAAGATATCACAAATGTAAAACTAAGGACCTGATGCTGATAAATCATATGAGTGTGAATCAATCATGAAACCCAGTATCAGTTGGTCTGAAGATGATTTAGCTTCTGGGAGCAACAGATAGTAATTCTGGGGTTACCTTGTAGCTAGCATGTAAATCAATCATTTGTCTTCCAGACATTGGTCATTGTTGACATTGAACAACTTAAGGCGCTAGTTGGAGTTCAGAGACAATGTATACAACCTGATTGTATATTAGCTTTGAGATGAAATCTATTCATATATTAATAAAAACCTAAATCATCTTCAGTCAACAGCAATCTGCCAATGAAATGCAGCATATGCGTTCATTTGTTTTGAGTATTTATCTGGATTCAACCAAACCTCCTTCAAAAGTGATTGATCAATACTGCTTCCACTACAACATAATACAAAATGCTATCAACACCACAATTCTGTCATGTTTCGTATACATATAGTGCATTCATATGATTGAACGTCGGTAAATTGCAACCTTGTGTTCGACCCTCACTAGTCTGAACCAAATATCACCAAATTCACATTTAGTTCTGACCTCATTCTCAAGCTTGGTTTTCAGTTTGCTACTTCCTGTTTGGGGTCAAACACCACTTTGTCCTGGATGCCCAGGGTAAATCTACTAACAACTTGTGTACACTATTTTGTGTGATGTTCATTGAGACAGGAGCATTTTAAAAATGGTAAATTGACTGCATTTTTAGAGGGCTTTTGTTGTCCAAGATACTACGTTGACTTTAATTAAATGTATTATGTAAACACATTTCACATAACTATATACTATATTAGGTTAGTTGGAAGCAATAATATTAAATTGAACCTAAGATGTTTGATCTAAACCTAATATTATTTGGACTGGGAATTTAAGGGTCGCAAAATATGGAGTGTGGAGGTACTTGGAGAGGTCCTGTTCACCTCCTGGGCCCTGCCGTGATGCCCTTGAGCAAGGCACCTGCTCCACATCCTACGATTCTAATTGCTTTCAACTAACATAATAGCCTACAGTTATGTGAAATTTGTTTACATAATACATTTAATGCAATTCAACTTTTCAGTTTTTCAGTGTGGCAGAGGCTACTATTCAATGTTCTAGCATCATGAGCAATATTCACATGCACACTCACGCCATCACTTAAAGTGCCTTTCACAATGACATTTAGTCACCTTGACTGCAGGGATCAGACCCCCGACTGATTCGAGGATGACCGCTCTACATACTGAACAACACACACATCTTACCATGTGCTGCTCTAACATGACCACAGTTCAAACTATATTGAGTGTATTCACCTGCATCCTCCAGACTCCCAAACTGGCTGATCTGACTGATTTGACTGATCCAGCTGTTCATCTCCTCCTCAGTTTTGGCCACCAGGTAAAAGACACGAAATGTGGTCTTCACCACAAAGAGGTGTTTGCCGTTGAAGTCTCGTTTTATCCTGAGCTGCCCGTTGAGCATTTCCACCTCGCACTCTTTCAGGTCGATGGTGCGGATGGGCTTTTTGGAGTTCTTGCTCTGATAGTACTCCAGCACATCAGGGTTGCCGCTCATGCGACCTCTTCGAAGCACAAACCAGCGTTTCCTCCAGGCCTGCAGGGAAACAGCACAGAGTGTATCTTTTAACGTTGTGCTTACTATGTGATATTATTCACAGTACTGCAGAATTCCAACAGTTTCACCCCCCCCACCATTGTATTAGTCATGACCAGTCATGGGAATAAGATCACAATAGTTGAAACTTTTTTTTTGCTTTTGATAAGGTCAGTAAGAGGAACCTCAACTCAGATTTCCCAGAAGTAAAGAGAAGAGGAAGTTAACTGTATTTAGCAGAAAAGGTCTAACACAACGAAAGAGGTATTTATACACTTCTTTACACCGAGGACTAAACTCAAACTAAATACTGAAACTGGGAACAGGTCTTTGTTGCTCCAGCAATCTACTTGTTATATGTAACGCCCAAAACGCCTAACAAATCATACGAATGGTAATGATGCATTTATATGTTCACACTTGGTTTTGTGGTTTTGTGTGCGTTGTGACACTCGACTGGAACTTTTGTGGTGTGAACTTAAAACGAAATGTTTTGTTTTGTTTTGTGGGTAATCTGCTCCTGCACAAGTCAGTTGGTAAAGCCTGTGTTTATACCAGGAAATGGTTAGACACGGCCAATAACACTGCCAAGTTTAAGAGGAAACCATAACTACACAGATGGCAATTTGATCCTATTTTTTAAACATGGAAGGTTTGAGCTCTAAAATATAGGTTGTTTGATAAAGGAGCTGGTGAATAATAAAGAAATGCACCTTTTTTTTATATCATGCCAGTTTAATACAATAATTGGCTTTTCTTGAAAATCCTTAACTCATGGAACGCTTAATAGTTTGATCCAGAGCTTTCAACCACATCTCATGGTCTTCCTCAGCGAATATAGTTTGCTGTCAATATGTGAATGAGTCTGGCTGAATGAGGAAGACCCTGTGTTGATCCTAAGTGGACATCAAGTGTGTGTGTTTTTTGTCACAATACCAATAACCAAAAATGCTCAAACTGAGGTAACATTTAATAATAATAACCATCAGTAATAAATGGTTAATTGATCATTAATCAAACCTTTGTATTTACTTAAATAAGTAAAATAAGGTTTCATCATCATTTGGTTATTTATTATTGGGTATTATAGGCTTTAATATAGTATTATCTTAGCAATAATAAACTAGTTATTGATGGTTTATCATCGCACACAATAAATGTGTGTACTAAGTACTAAATACTGTGTATTTGTTGAATAAAAAACATATGGATTCATTTTCAACCAGTATTATCTATGTTTCTGAATAATATTAGCTTTCCATCACCCGTTTAACAAGGTATTCTGCTCATCAGTTGCAACTTTAATATTTATTTTATAGCAAATCATATTTATAATTGCTTAAAAAATATTATGAACTATTAATAAAGTCTACTTCATAATGTTTATCGATGTTTATCCCTTACACTGTAAAATATTACCATGATTTCACAATATGTAGCTGTAATATTTTACAATAAATTACTGTTTTACCACTTTACAGTCTTTACCTGTAATGTTCACAATATAACACTGTAATTTAGAATGTCACAGTGAAATCAATACAGACACAGTTAATTACTGTGAATGTACAGGATAAATGATTACCAGGATTTCACAACATGTTACTGTATTATTTCATAGTAAAATACTGTATTCAGACCATCCTCTGTGATAACACAACAAATTAAGTGATTTTCTTGCTTTCATCGCTCTTGCTTGGCTTTAAATACTAATTTCTTTCTTTGGTGCAGGTTTTACTTAAATTGAAAGTGGCACCGCTGCATATGCCTTAAAATAAATGAGGCAACATATACATCTATGTAAAATTGAAATTGTTGTCTTGGCTTATTGTTTTCAGGTGCTTCCTGGGCATTAACACTGAGACGGGCTCGAAAGCCAAAAAGAGGCATGGCAATTTAAACCCCCATGTCAGCACATTCTTCAGAAAAATTGTTGACTTTGAGTGGATGTCTGTGTAGACAAGTGTTAAGTGCTCCCCTCCTTGTTTTCTTTCTGTCTCCCTGCTGCAGGTGCACCTGGTCTGCCCCTGGCTCCGCCTCTGCCCAGGTGCACCTGGTCTGCCCCTGGCTCCGCCTCTGCCCAGGTGCACCTGGTCTGCCCCTGGCTCCGCCTCTGCCCAGGTGTTCCAAATTCCACTCAGCCGTGTATATATATAAAGAGAAGCTGGAGGAGAAGGCTGTCTCGCCTATCCTAACGCCGGAGACACTGTCCTTAGAATACCTCTTTGCCATTCTGAGCTGTAGGCCATATTTTTGCAGATGTGTTTTATGTTTAGCCTGGAGGACCTGGTAGTCCAGTTTTCGTGGCTTTATTTTGTTTCCCACAGGGTTTATAATTTATTTCTGGTTAGGGGGGGAGCTCTGGGTCCTACGGCCCGTGGTGTGGCTGGCTCGGGTTCCCTCCTTCTGTTTGTTCCTTTTGGCCAGTCCTCCAGACCTCTTTTTGTTTCCCGTTTCGCTTGTGTGAGCAAACGGCTGATTATCAATAAATGCTCGTTACCAAGTACCGGTTATTGCGTGTATTCTTTCATGTTGCGGGTCTCAGCACGAGCCACTACCGCGGAGTAGAGGTTGGGGCCGTAACAACATGTCCAAGACACTGTGAAATGTACTTTGCACTTCAATGGAGTAATACAAAGTTAAAATTGGCATTTTCTTTGTTTTTCTTTGTTGATTGAGCTGATTGAATTGTGTAGTTATGGTACAATCCCAGTCAAATGTACAATATATTATCGTATTATTTAGATTTGTATATTTACAGTAAATTACTGGCTACTGTGTTGCATTACTTCTACAGTAATAGTGTGAACATACAGGTAATTACTGTAATGTATGTACAGCAAGGTACCATAATACCACAGCTCTGTACTGCTATATCACAGTAATTCCATGGGCATGGCAACTGTAAAGTCACAGTATTTAGTTGTATTTGTATTCTAATTAACTGTAAAATATATACAGTAAATTACTGTGAAATATTTACAGTAAATAACTGTGAAATCCATGCAACTAGTAGCCAGTAATTTACTGTAATTTTACAGCCAAACATTTTACAGTGTAGATGCACGAGTGTCTGGACCCTACACTCTTCCATAAGTGGGTCAAAAAGGACCCGTATTAGAATAATGTGTTTTTATGCCATTTTGGTTAAGAAAAATCACTTATATTTTGGTTCACACTAGAAATATTTTATATATAATTTTTCACTATTTATAATTTTATAATCTTTTTTTACATTTTGAAAAAAAACGTAATTCTATAGGAAATGCATGCGGGTCATTTTTGACCCACTTATGGAAGCTTGGGGTAGTAATACAAAAACTACAATTTCTTAAAATGTATACAATTTAAATAAAACATGTGAATGGCATGATATCCAAAACATGTTAATATAGCTGGAATATGAAATGACAAAAAAAATGTAATTACAAAGATACTTCAAGAAAACCACCTCACCGGGTCAAAAAAGACCCAATTATGCATCTAAGGGTTAACAAATCAATTGGTCATTGTGAATAAGATACATAGCTTACAAAACAATACAATACAATGTACAGTAGCTTTAACATTTTTATAATATTTGCAACAATTAACTGTTATAATAGCATAACTAAATATAAGTAAACCAAAACATAAATGTCATGTCTCTTCCTGTGTGACCTTGCAATGTAAATGAGTCTTTTTATGTAGTTATTTCAAATGAGACAACACAGGGTGCTTTTAAAATACATTATATCCCCTAAGGTAATAATATAGGAATATGTGTTGATAAAAGAAATGCATGTTCTTGTTAGTGAGGCCCAACTTCACCACTCTGTGAACATGCAGCAGCTCATGCACATCATCGTGGCAGAGAGCAGAAAAGGAGACATCAGAAAGTGTGTTCTTCTTCTATTTCTAATAAAGGGTGTTAAAACCGAGACGCTGCAGCCAAATTCAGCGAGTAACCCAACCCATTGGTGAACACCACCACTCCGCATTATTTTCTTTAAAGCGTGCCATATTCTGCCAGAAGATTTTCATTCCTTTCGAGAACACACAGATAAGCTTGACCACAAGCCTTGACATTTTCATAACAGCTTGACATTTGAATACTGAGTCAGATAGTGTGTATCCCCTAACAACAGTCTGAAAAACAAGCATTTATGCAGGATTTCCATAATGTGCTAAAATAAGTTTCTATTTCCCGCCCTTAGCCCCATCAATACACACCTCCACCCACCCACTCTTTCCCTGCTGCACTTACAAATGGACCTCCTCCTCCTCCTCCTCCTCCTCCTCCTCCTCCTCCTCCTCTCCTCCTCCTCCTCCTCCTCCTCCTCCTCCTCCTCCTCCTCCTCTCGTACAGAGGAAGTCCAAACAGCCGTCATGAAGCTGGACTATTTCTGCTTGTCACTTAAGTCTGTCTGACTGGGGCTGACATTACTTCCCATGTTTCACAATGGGGACACGCTCATCACACTAACAGACACACAGCCCAGCTTTATCACATGACCCCAACAGTGTAAGCAGTCACATATACTTGCAGCTGTTGGAGTCATTTTAATGTCTCCCTCTCTGCAGATTGTGACACATTGTTGACTAAATCCAGTGTTTTAAAGTGCACAGAGGGCGTTGTTATAGAAACAAGGAAAAAGGATTGACAGATTAAATTACATTTTAGTTTGACAAAGGCATACAAACCCACGGTATGTTTTTAAATCATCATTCCACACACACACACACACACACACACACACACACACACACACACACACACACACACACACACACACACACACACACACACACACACACACACACACACACACACACACACACACACACACATATGCATATATACAAGGCTTAGCAGCACAACCTGCCATACACACTGCTGGCAGAGGACATAAACAAGTGTCCAGTGTGTTCTCCTACTCACAAATCTCTTGAGTTTCTTCTCCGGGGGGGATTTAATGAGCCAGCCGGTGCACACCACATCCCCAGCACTCATCTTGACTGCAGAGCGTGTCGTCCTCACGGTTGCTGCTGCTGCTGCGGCTGCTGCTGCTTTAAAACTGTGAGCACTGCGAAAGCATATCCTGTGTTCTGGTATTCAGCCTAGCCACTCCAAAAGGAGGAAGTCGAAAAAATTGATCACACTGACAGAGAGAGAGAGAGGGAGAGAGACGGACAGACAGAGCAGGGGAGAGAGAGAGCATGTTGTTATTGTGCTCTCATGTGCTTGGGGCTAGTATACAGGAATATATGGGTTGGGCATTTATTTTTGCATTATGTAAATAAAGAGGAACTTTCAGTGTATGGGCTAATGCTGGAAACTTGATTTGTTCAGAAAAATGTTATATTTATACTAGATATTTTTTTATTTCATTTTCAACATTTCCACTTATAGGCCTACTCCAAAGTATAACATTCATCTCAAAACATTTTTTTCCATAAATGCAAAAAAAAGGAAAACAACACTCCTGATTTATTTGTTCTTATTCCGATAAAGGGGCCCTATTATGCTCACGTTCAGGTTCATATTTGTATTTAGTCCCTCTACTGCGACATGTCTCCATGTTTTAATGTTCAAAAAGCTCTTTATTTTTCTCATACTGCCTGTGCTGCAGCACCTCTTTTCACCCTCTGTCTGAAACCAGAGCCCAGTCTGCTCTGATTTGGTTAGATTGTAGGCTCTGTTGTGATTGGCCGACTGCTTAGAGATGTCCCATCCCTTATCACGTACAATGTGTTGGAGCACTAGTCAATAGAAGAGGGAGTGTTTAGTAGTGATGTCACTATGTTGCCTAAGTATCAGAAGGATGCAAATCGGGGAGTTGAAGGTAGAAAGTCCCTCTGAAGGAAATGCCTTTGCAGACCATTTACATGCACAAACATATATATAACAAACTACAGGAAAGGGAACACTTCAAAAAGCATGATGGGGCCCCTTCAAAATACTTTATCTTAATGTTTATGTTTGACGCTGTAACTATGTATTTCTTTTTGTTGGTTTATCCAATGTGGTTTCTGAGTTCTACAGAAACCAGAAGTGGCTTCAACACTGATCATCTAAACATCGACTTGCCTCACACCTAATAAACTAAATAAGGACTCATTTCCACATGGGCTTTAAGGGAGGTCTTAGTACAGACATGATATTATTAGCAGGGGGGCCTATCAGTGTGCATTCCTTCGTGTGCTCAGCCCTTGTCAAAAGTGAGTTAGGTGAATTTGAAGATCATTGGACGATAAGGTTTACAAAGTAGAGAAACGTGGTAGCAGAAGCAGAATACATTTCAACTCAATTAAGTCTTTATCTATTATCTATTGAAGCTATTTTGTCACTTCTTTGTCAAAAGCACATTTTAAGGTCTCTTAAGATTAAAAACAACAATATAATTAAAATTGTGCATAGAAAGCCAAAAAGACATTGCCAAATGTTTTAAATAAAAAAATATAAGATTCATCATATTGATTGTGTTGGTCTTTCCTTAGCTGCCACCACTGCCTAAGATCAAAATAGGAATTTAACATGGATCCATTTAATTTCATGCTTAAATAGCTTCTGATGTCATTTTGCAGTAAATTACTGGCTACTCGTTTCACAAATATCACAGCAAGTAACTGTGATATTTATACAGTAAATTATATTAAAAATGACAGCTGTTATCCCAGTTAGTTATTCAATGTAATTGCTGTGATGTAGCTGTATGTGATGTTGCAGGAATATAATACAACTTTTAAAAGTAGTGCAACTTCTTAATTATATTTTGAAATAAAAAGTTGATTAACCACATTATTTGTTAACAGATCACAAATCTAAAACATTGACATATGGTTAATTTCAAATAGAAACCGAAACAAAATCAAATGTACACATATTTGCAGTCTGCCACACACATTTGCACATACACTTGGTTGTATTTAGTATTCAACTACACTGACAACTGCATAATACATAAACCAATACATAATTAAAGTAATGTGACATCGAACTGTAAATGTTTTTAAATGAATTACAATGTTTAATGTTAAAAATGTATATACAAATGTTACTTTCTCCATCTGCTCTTTTTATTCCTACATGTTGAATACCATTAGCAAATAAACATAATACATGAGTGTGGTTGATACAGTCAGATTTGTGCTGCCCCCAAGTGGACTAAGAATACATTCTTGCAGTTTTCTAATGGGCTAAGTCTTAACCCTTCAGTATCCCAACCAGGGGTGGCGCCAGGGGGGAGCTATTTTTTAAATTAAATTAAATTAGAAAAATTATTGATTACATCAATGCAAATGTGAAACAAACACATAAAGCCAACACAGGTGATATGATTAGGCCAATGGCCAGCACCCATTCGATTTTTGACCTACCCATAGGCTAAATTACTTTGTGACACTTGATTGACTTCCTGTTAGCTAGAGCGCCAAATTATTTGCTAACAGCAAAGTGAACAATTTATCGTTTTTTAGTCCTTAAACGTCCACGTGTGGACACTCAATCAAAACCACCTGAAAGCGAGAGGGATTCTGCACATAATAGCCTAGCCTCGTGAGTACAAGTAGCTTACTTCTGGATCTTTGTGTTTCATTCAAGCTCTGCTCTGTGTGTGAGTGTGTGTGTGTGTGTGTGTGTGTGTGGCACGAGCCATTTTGTGTGCGTGCGCGAGCGAGCGAGAGCTCGCGCACCGGTGGGTATCTACTGGAGATCGTTGTGGTTAGCATCTGGTGATAGCTAGCCAAGCTAATGGATATAAGTATGGAGTCAGATTTGGGTCAATATTCTAGCGCGTAAAACAAGCTACTCACGAGCGGAAAATGTGCTTTTACACGCGCATAAAATGACCCTCGCGCGCAGATTAAAACCCCCGCGAGCGGCTCTGCGCCCGCGAGCGGCTCTGCGCTCGCTCGCGAGAGAGACAGCCCTCTTGCTCGCTCGCAGGAGTATCAGCCTCGCGGAGTCTGTCTACGCGCGCGTGAAAAGTTTCTGGCACTTTGGGGCGGAGCCACTGGACTTTGATTGACAGCTGCCAGGAAACCCGGAGTTGCCAGGTTTGATAAATGCCTGAACTACCAAGAGCCGAGGAGTGACGGCAGCAACATCAGTTGGACGAGATTGAATGGTAAAGTTGTCCATAAAAAACTATTATATTCGTAAAGTGCACAGCTAATATAAATATATATATATATTAATTTTATATAAAACAATATATTTTTGAGTGGGCTGTATCTGTCGAAAATTGCTAGCTACTGTCTGCTGTACACTCTTAGAAGGGATGTGTCAAAAATATATTGAATTTCAACACATGTTGAGTGTGCTCAGGGACAACACGTGTTGTGTTTATTTATGTGTAAATCATTTTTACACACAAAATGTGTTACATGCCCCTAACACACAATGTGCACATTTTACACATTGTGTGTCATAAATGTGTAACCAAGATGAACACACTCATTTGTTATTTCTGCACATTTTGTGTTATATTTCTTTAACCAGAATTAACATTTGATTGTGTTATATCTGCACATTGTGTGTCAATGACGATTACTGGAAGTACCAGGTGGTGGATATGGTTTTTATTAAAAAAATCGAATCCAAGAATACATTCATTGGACATTTATTTACAAGGATTTCATTAGCACAATATGTCATTAAGAAAATAATTGTTAACATTTAAAAATATTAATATTTTTCTAATTCATCAAATGTTGACAGAATAGATAATTCATAAAATCACACCTAAAAAAACATTATACCTTGGTTAAAACAAACTTAATCTTCAGCAAACTATTGTTGTAAATGACTTTCAGCTGAGGGAATATAGTGATGAGATTATTCACAAGGACCACCTTTTCAGTGTTGGATGGATAATTAAGGATAAAAATGAGCTATTTTTTTTATTTTTCAAAAAGAATACAACAGTTCTAGCATACAAATATTACAAATGCGTGATAATGAAGCAATTGGTTATAAAGAATGTCCTTTTGTATCAAGCAAATACAATTATTTTTTTACAACCGTTAACGCGTTAATAACGCGTTAACGCAAAAAAAAATGAACGCCACTAATTATTTTAACGCGATTAACGCATGTGTATTTTTTTTCCTCGCCCGCCCGTGTGGCACGAGCGAGCGAGAGAGAGACCTTACGTGCATTGTTGTTGTTAGCATCTGGTGCTAGCTAGCTGCGCTAACGGATATAAGGAGCTGTTTAAATGAAAACAGAGGAGCACTCTATCCACACAACTGCGCCGAGCACTTGACTTTATGCAGGCAGCCAGACAGTGAGACATTGTACGAAAAGTCAGCACACTCAGCACGGATAGTGCGCAACATGATTGCAGCGTCCAGGCAGCTCCCGTTCGAGCATATGCCTTGAGTTGCACATAGCTCCAACGATCCAACACACACACACACACACACACACACACACACACACACACACACACACACACACACACACACACACACACCACACACACACACACACACACACACACACCATTTGTATTGTATTATTGTAGGTTCCAGGTTGAATTGATGCGAATATTTGTAATGTCCAGAGGTTGTTGTGTTTAATATTCATGAGAATATTTGTGATTGTTCAAATGCTAATAAACATTAGCATAAAGCATATGTGTCCACTCATATGTTGATAAGAGTATTAAAAACTTGAAAAATATTCCTCTAAGGTACATTTAGAACAGAAAAAAAATGTGCGATTAATTTGCGATTAATCGCGATTAACTATGGACAATCATGCGATTAATCGCGATTAAATATTTGTAATCGACTGACAGCCCTAATATATATATATGCAATTTTCGACAGATACAGCCCACTCAAAAATATATTGTTTTATATAAAATTAATTTATATATATTAGCTTTACACTTTACGAATATAATAGTTTTTTATGGACAACTTTACCATTCAATCTCGTCCAACTGATTTTGCTGCCGTCACTCCTCGGCTCTTGGTAGTTCAGGTGTCAGTACCAGATATGTTCGGGCTACCAGATATGTTCGGGTGTATTTCCGTCGCATCCGTCATCCGTCATATCCGTCATATACTCACCTCCCTCTGCTCCCAGCGCTCGCTCTGCTGCCACACACCGGC